CCGACACCGGCGAACACGGCGCGTGACCACGGGCGACACGAGCGGAAACACGCGGCGGACCACGGGACACGGCGCGAACGCGATGCCATCAAGCTAATCCGTCCGTCCGTCCGACTCCTCCGTCCTGTCGGCTCGTCTGTCGGCCCGTCCGTCCGTCTGTGCTCAGCTTCGTCTGTCCTCCGTCCCGTTCTTCGATCGTCTGGCCGCCCCGTCACGTCCGTCTGTCGGCTCGTCTGCCGGCCCGTCCCGTCCGTCTTCGCTCGTCTGTCGCCCTCCGCCGTTCTGTCGCTCCGTCTTCGGCCCGTCCGCTCCGTCTGTCGCTCGATTCTGTCGGCCCTCCGTCCGTCTGTCGACTCGTTCTGTCGCCCGTCCGTCCGTCTGTCGCGTTCGCCTTATCGGCCCGTCCGTCCGTCTCCGCTCGCACTCGCTGTCCGCCCTCCGTCGTCGGTCGGCTCGTCCGCACTCATGTCCGGCCCGTCTTCGGCTCATCCGCGTCTGTCCGCTCCATCCACAACCGTCATGTCTCGGCCCGTACTGTCGCTCGTCCGTCTGTCGGCCCGATCTTCGCTCCCTCCGTCTGTCGGCCATCCGATTCTCTCGCTTCAGGCCTCTCCGTCTGTCGCCCGTCTCGTCAGCCCTCCGTCCGCGTCGGTCGCCGTCCTCTCGCGCCCGTCCGTCCGTCCTGCGGCCGTCTGTCGGTCGTCCGTCTGTCGGCCCGTCTGTCGGCTCCGTCCGTCTGCGTCGCCCAGCCTCTGCTCGGCTCGTCCTCTGAACCGGCCCGTCTTCGGAGCCGTCCGCCTCTGTCGCTCGTCATGTTTCGCTCGCCGTCTCGATCGGCCCCGTACTTCCGGCTCTCCGTCTGTCGCCCGCTCCTTCGGCTCGTTACCGTCTGTCGGCCCGATCTGTCCGCTCGCTCCGTTCTGTCGAGCCCGCTCTCGTCGCTCTACCGTCTGTCGCCCGTCCTCGTCCGCGCTCAGTCTCCGCGTCTGTCGGCGCCGTCCAGAGCTCGTCCGTCGGTCCGCCCGTCTGTCGCTCGCCCGTCCCTTCGGCCCGTTCTGTCGCATCGTCCGTCTGTCGGCCCGTCCCTGTCGCGCTACGTCCGTCTGTCGGCCGTCTGCGGCGCTCGTCCGTACTGATCGCCCGTCGTCGCGCTCGCCGTCGTCGGCCCTCTGTCGGCTCGTCGTCTGTCGGCCCGTCCTCTGTCGGCTCTCCGTCTGTCGCCCGTCGTGTCGGCTCGTCCGTCTGTCGCGCCCGTCTGACTTCGCTCGTCCGTCTGTCGCCCGTCTGCGGGCCTCTCCGTCTCTGTCGCCCGTCTGTCGGCTCGTCCTCTGTCAGGCCCCCGTCTGTCGGCTTTCGTCCGTATCTTCGCCCCGTCTGTCCGGCTACTCCGCTTCTGTCGCCCGTCTGCCCAGCACTCCGTCCTGTCGCCCGTCTGTCGGCTCGTCCGTCTGTCGGCACACACACCGTCTGTCGCCCGTCTGTCGCCCCTCCGTCTGTTCCCGCTGCCGCGGCTCGTCCGAGTCCTCGGCCCGTCTGTCGCCTCGATCCGTCGTCGGCTCGTCCGCGTCTGTCGGCTCGTCCGTCTGTCGGCTCGTATCCGATCCTCTGTCGGCTCGTCCGTCTGTCGCTCGCCACGTCTGTCGCGCGTCCGTCTGTCGGCTCGCCTCCGTACTGTCGCTCGTCCCGTCTGTCGCTCGTACCGTCTGTCGCGCTACGTCCGTCGTCGCTCGTCCGCTCTGTCGCGCTACGTCCGGTCTGTCGCTCCGCGCGCTGTCCGCGCTCGTCCCGTTCTTCGGCTCGTCCGTCTGTCTGCTCGTCCGTCTGTCGGCTCTCCGTTCTGTCGCGCTCGTCCGGCTCGTCGCGCTCGTACCTTCTTCGGCTCGTCCGTCTGTCGCCTCGTCCCGTCTGTCGGCCTCGTCCCGTCTGCTCCCGCGTTCGTCCGTCTGTCGGCTCGTCCCTCTGTCGCGGCTCGTCCGTCTGCTCGCTATCGTTCCGTCTTCGCTCGTCCGCTCTGTTCGCGCTCGTCCGCGGCTGTCGGCTCGTCCGTCTGTCGGCTCGCTCCCGTCTCCTCGGCCTCAGTCCGTTCTGTCGCGCTCGTCCTCTGTCGGCAATCGTCCGTCTGTCGCTCGTCACGTCCTGTCGCTCGTCCGTTCTGATCCAGCTCCGTCCGTACTGTCGGCTCGTCCGTCTGTCGGCTCGTCCGTCTCGTCGCTCGTCCCGTCTGCTCGCTCGTCCCGTCCTGCTGATCCGCTCGCGTCTCCCGTCTTGTCG